GGAGATAAAAAAAGGGAAAAAAAGAAAGAAAAAGAAAAAAAAGGATAGCCCACAACGCCTCAAATGTTATTTTCGGGCGTCTAGAACACAAAAATTTCGCTGGGGCATGCCCCCGGAACCCCTAGGACGTTGTTCTCTCGATCGGCCCAAATTTCGACGCCCCCTTTCGGCTCCCCCTTTTGGACATCACTGGATCGGCCCCTGAGTATTATAGAAGATATTTATGTTTTATTTATTTGTTTGTTTGTTTGGTATTGAAATATTTTGGGATAGCCATTTTTCAGTATTTTGTTTATATTTTGGGTTTTTTTAATATAAAGGTATTATAACATAATATTTGCAACCAAACAATTTGACAGTTGGTCTTATTACACAACCAGAGCTTAGAAAATTGTATGAAAAGGTTGTTTTTTTGCAGCATTGTTTTTGCAGCAGCATTGTTTTTGCAGCATTGTTCATTTTTCTACTCAGTCTCCACTTCCTTTTGTGTATGCTGCCCTCATTGGCTGTCCTTCACTTAATATACATTACATCTGTATGCTGGTTTGTCCATTACGTTAAGTTATGACTGTCATTTGCCAAAAGTGTTATGTATGGTCCATTAGTCAATACTTACCTTGACCATTATATAACGCTCCCTGAGGAGTGCTTTTCCGTCACTTACACATCCCATCATGTGTTTATGACAAAATGGGTGGTTGGATCCAAGAGGGTCATTCCATGTATTATAACATGTCATAATATATTGTTTTCTTAACATGTTTATAATTAAATATATAGTTATTTTAGTAAATATTACTGAAATTATTAGTGAAAATATTACCAATAAATGAATAGGCAATTTTACAGGTTTGTTCATCTCATTTTATTCATCGGAAAAGAAGTTAACCATGCATTTTAATTGGATTATCAGCAGTAATAAAGGTACTTTAGCCCCATATTTATTACTGAAACTAGTGTAATGAGCTGTATGGAGCCCATCATATTAAGCCTCTAAATTTTGAGGTAGAGTGGTATGTTCTTTGCCATTCCACCTGTTTTAACTTCTGTATATTTCAAGAAGTTCTTTATGACAGCTGAGTAAACAGAGCCCACCCCTTTGCCGGGACTGAACCTGGGTCATCAGTATGCTAGGCAACTGTCCTAATCACTTGGCCACCGCGAATCACTGTCAGCAGTATTTCTCCATTTCTTGACATGCTTGAATGCTGTGTAAGCATATTTATTATAGGCTAGTTAGCTAGTTTTTTTTATTAGTAGGCCTATATTAATTATTTGTTGCAGTGGAAATGGTTTGGTTTCCATCCTTCGATGTGCATTTTGCTTGTGTCTGCCCAGCTGTATTATTGAGTACCAGCAGACTGCTGGGAGTAACCTGCGTTGGACTAGCGTCCCATGCAGGGGAGCACCATGCTCTCATCCACTTCACACTACAGAAACTGGGGATAAGCTAAGGATTTACTTTACCTATAGTATATTATTTATTGTTTTTTAGCTACTTGTTGGTGGAAACATTAAAACTCTTTCCTGTAACACCACGCCAAATTTTTGATGAGTATTTGAACAATGTAATCTATAACTGTTAAAGGTAATCAGAAATTCCCTTCCAACGTAAAGTTGCTCCTGAAGTCGACTTAATTCTTTTCCCAGAAGACATGGAATCATGTCAACACCATGAACAATACATGAATGACAATAATTGAAAGACAGGAATTTACTCTTCCTTCTATGACTCAACTTTCTTTTGAGTCCAGCGCACGACCATAGAGGAATTTTGTAGTGATAGGATCACATTGGCCGTAATGACTTCTCCATCTGTATTGGTCAATATTTGATCATGGTTTTGTCAAAAGGAAATTTATACTTGGGTTGATTTCTTTGTAAAAGTGTTTTTTTATAGAGTCCTGACAATAGAATCTTGTTGAAAGGGAAACAAGTGCTTGACTATGTTGAACGATGACCTTTAGTATAATTATTATATCGTATTGTAGCTATTTTTATACCTAAAGTAGTAACCTACAGCATATATCTGTTAAAATAAGTTAACTTTTGGCAAAAAAGTGTTTTGGAGATCTTTTGGCATTTTAGTTGAAAGGTAGTTAACAATTTCATCAAGCAAATTATTGTATCAATTATTAAAGGGTTGTTACAAATTTCTTCATTTAGCAATTGATTCTGTCTTTTGCAAAATTGAATTTGACAAATTAAATTAAAATTAATACAAGTTTTGACATTTACATTTATTATTTAGTTAGGGCTTCACTACTGACATACAAAAAAAAAGAAATACAATTTCACATTTTTTCACGTTTATCGTTCTAAATATTTATGTATTTACTTAGGAATGTTTCCTCCATTTGGCAACAGAGTGGTAATAACAGATAATTCATACCAGCACATTTAGTTAAATTGCTCTTATCGGGTCCAATATATATTCAATCAAATTAAATAGCATTTTTGCCGACTTTTATGTTAAAGACGTAATATATCTTACTTTGAAGGTGAAATTCTCATTCTGTATGATATATGATGTCAAATGTTTTGAAAGTATTTAAGGATTTTCGTTAATAAATCGTCCATAAATATAAAATTTTAAAAATGAAAAGTTTCTGTTGTATATTTTAATAAGTTACACACTTTCCACTGAAAATTTGAACCAAAAAATAAATCAACAACCATTAACCAACATTTAAATATTTCTATAGTCTGTTTGAGTATATTAAACCTTAAATTTCTGGCAATAAATTTAATGAACTTTCTTATTTCTTTTTTTTTTTTTTTTTTTTTTTTGTTCTGTCACTGAAATTATTTTGGTTTGGTAGCTTTTGTGGTTCTTTTCAACCAAAACTATAATTTTTATGTTATTTTTACATTTGTTTGTTATTTACCCTGTAGGCCTCTATAAACTTTGGTCCTCTACACTATTTTTTATAAGAAAACATTGTCATTTTATAAGAACACCAAGGGTGAAATCGCTTAAAAAAATAAGAACAAAATAAAAACAAACTGAGGCTGAGGAAAATGTCAAATGAGGTTTTGTTTTGTTTTTTTCTTAATATATAGAAAACCAACAAATCTTACCTTATTTGCAGTAGGTGCAACTATGTAATACCCTCATATATACAATATGGTAATATACTGCTGTGTAATAATAATTTCTATGTTTGAAAAGTGTGTAAGAACATTGAGCCTAGGCAGAATTTTACTGGTTCTTAATTAAAAAAATGTGTATCTGAGTTGCTCTAAAAAGTGAACTGCGCAAGTAAATTCCAAATTTTAATTGCTAAACGGTAAGTGTAAGTGGATGGCTTGATCATTTTAATGGTATGTTGAGAGTTCTGTATTCAATTTTTTCAGGTGTTTCGGATAATACTGATGTTCACATTTGTCTTCATTTATTCTGATATAACTTTGTATTGTTGTCTCC